TGTTAGTGGTCGCCACCATATTTATACTTCGTCAACATTGTAAGCAGCTAAGCAGATGTACCAAATTTAGATAGCAGGCATTTTTGTGCAGGCCAAAGTTCAGTGCGTTTAATAACTCAGGAATTCCTCAGTTCAAACCTCTCACAGGCCTCCATATCCCCATTTTGTTTGTTTTCAGGATGCCACAATTATTTGCCCTGCACCATACTGCTAACAGTAATGATAGATGCAACTTATTTGGGTAACGTGATCGTTGACAATGACACGAACATTGAGATCAACGCGCAGTCTGCGCGATTTTGCTCCTTCCTGCGAACCGATCTACTCAGTGTGGATACAGTTATCACTTTGAACGAATCCAAAAGTTACTAACACAGTTTTAACCCGGAAATTTTTTAATCAAGTCGTTTTAAGTTTACGTACTCACGACAAACTTGATCTGTGCTCGAATCCCAAGCTTTGATGGCACGCATCGTTTTGTGCATTTGCAAGCAACAGCAAGCAAAGCATAGATGCCGACTGTAGTCCCATCCACAGTCCTGCCGTCGGTTTCGTATAATTTATTACAAAGATGAGTCTTTCATTTTTTCAAAAACGCAATAAACAGCGACAACGGTCGGGAGAAGGACCCCAAACACACACACACACACACACACAACCAGCTAAAGGTACTTGTCTTATGGTGAAGGTGGTAGTAGGAGTTTTACGGGCGGGACCTACATATATGTATGCATAGAGGAATGTCAAAATAACTATAGATAAGTGGTAAATTCGTTCTTCCGGCGGAAATGTTTTAATGCATCGACATGTAGCAACCGAAATTTCATCGTGTTTCCTTGACAGAAAATCTATCCGATGAGGCGCCATATCTTATAAGAGATATAGGTTGAGGGGGAGGGGAGAGTCGGTCAACGGTCAAAAGTCCTGCAGTCCCCCTTTCAAGGCCAAATGGGCAAGGCTAATAAACCAGTCAGCAGCAGGCAGTCCCATAAACTGATGCTGCGCCAACGTACGCAAACACATGAGCCAACACATGAAGAGGGATTCATGTAGCTATGGAAACTTCTGTTACGAGAGGAACAATAGGCCGTTTAAACAATAAGGCATAATGTGCCTGCCTTAAACGGCCAGTTGCACCCACGCATGAAGAGATGGGCAGCTTGCAAAGACGAGAGTTGAAATTTCCTGCCTACGTAGACAGAATCCCCCTCGCTAGGCGTCGAAAGCCAGATTCATGGACGGTACTCGTAATTGAGGCAATTCTAATCATTTTCGCTGTGGGAGTTGGCACATTCACCTACTATCGTTCTCACGTTTTGCCCTTCTACGCAGCCAGGGCCTTCGCCCATCTCGGTTCCACTGTAAGTATTTGGTTTTCCATTTGACAATTCCTCAATCTTTGGCTAACAAAATAACCCAAGAAATAGATTTAGTCTGACCACCACAATTATCAATCGTCACTGATTGATTGTTTTGACTCAGGGGAGAGAATGTTAAACATTCTTGAATCATTTTAAAGAAAACTTCCAGTGTGCAGTTCGCCACAAATGTTTTGCTTACGGGAGGAGCAATTGGTTGGTTTTTGGCGTCTGAGCACTTACTGCTCTGGGTTTATATTAAATAGTGTTTTTTATTCCTCGTAGGTCTCGGTTGAGCCGACGGAAGTTCTAAGTTATCAAAAATGTTGTTATAAAACACGCATGTTGCAAATTACACTTCATCAGTGACCCTTCGTGACAGTGCCTTCGCATGGAAACTTGACAACGGTATTGTATGTAGCCCCATTGATAAAACGGGAAACACGGACGCCTGAAACCCTTAAACTTAACATTAAAACCCGCACCCTTTCTCTGGCTTAAAAACCTAAGCTCCAGCCTCTAACCTTAATCTGAACCTTAATTTTTGAACCAGGGCTTGATCAACCAATATTAGGGTTAAAATAGTGCGAATGCTAGGTTTACAAGTGTGTTTCAGTGAATAGGCCAGTTTTATCGTTAATATTACTACCAGACTTACGTTCCCCTTTTCGTATAAAGCCTTTCACAACCTGTTACCGAATGAGTCATAATGAAATGAACTTACATAAAAGAAGTAGACAAATTTTTGTTATGACGACTAGGTGGGGTCACATATGATGCTGTCGCCGACAAAAGTACCCCGTTCCCTTTACAAAGATGACAGTGTTTGCAATTACGACCAAAAATAAAAGAGGAGTTAAGCCGACAGAGACAGTAAGGACTTTAGCGGCGCATTGGTCATAACAAACAAGCCACTCTGCAACACCGGGATGGCGAGTAAGTCAGTGGGCATTTGAGATGATCTGTCGCCTTAGCCATGGCTCAAACTGCTCCCGTCTGCGCCTGCAAAATAAAAGTGGCGTGAGAGTGGCGTTCACTGGTTTTTCCCGGCTGCAGTACGAAAATGCTCGACAATGATATCGAATGTAGCGTCACTGATAAAACAGATAGCAAGGAGGCCCGTAACCCGTAGACCTAACAGTAAAGGCTTAATCCTAACTCTGACCTTACAAACCTTAACCCCAACCATAACCTTAACACTTAAACCTAACTCTAACCCTAACCCTGATGTTGGGGTTAGACTACCAGCAACGTTAGGTTCACAAGTAATCTTAATGTGAGGGTCAGGGAATGGTACAGTTTCAAAGTTAATATTACCGTCAGACTTATATTCCCCTTGCCGCACAATACCTTACGCAATTTGTCACCGAGAAAACCGTAACGAAGCATACTCAAGTAAAAGGAGCTGCAGCGACTAGACGTGGTCACGTAAGATACCATCGTCGGACCCTTACTGTTAATTATTGTTTAAAAGCTCTTCAAGCAGTAAAACGACTTTGAAGCGCAGAAGCCGGGGAAAGCACCTCCATCAAGGAAAGGGGTTAGTCCCAGAGGAGTTCCTTTTTACACTTCCTATTCATGTTCTTCCAGAAAGTGCATTCCTTAAAATCCTACCAATTTTTAGCAGACAGATCTCAATTCGGCTAACGGAACGTTCTGTAAAAACGGCATGTCAGGTAAATTTTAATAAATGGACACATGCTTGATTCCTTTCAGTCGAGTTGATGCATGGCAAAATTTTAATTCCTGAAAATGTAAATGATCAGACTTTTCTTTAGAAAATTTATACATGATTTTGTTTCTAAAATCACACTAATAGAAGTGGAGTATAAGGTCAACCAAACACGGACTGCCCTTAGCCTCTGCTCTAAATGGTCTTTTTTCTCTGAAGGCGAATGCGCTGACCACTACACTAAAAGGGGTTGAAAAACCCCCTAAGTTTGGCAAATGATCGAGCTGAGGCCAACTACTTTACTGAGTCAGGGAGGAAATGTTGGTCTTCGAGCCCATGTCAGGTTTCAGGCTTGAATAATTTGTTAGTTCGGGAGAACAAAGCATGTCCGTAGTCGTCAGTCATTAAGCGCACTAAAATTTATACGCGACGGAAGGACTGGAACCCATCTGCTCGTAACAACCGATAGCGTTCGTTGAAGCAGAGGCTATTATGAGGCCATTAGGTATTTAAATCTCGCTTTCATGCAAATTTCGAGACAGGTCAAGAAACTTCGGTCGGTGTGGGGTTCACCCATAGCATATCCACTTATCTGTGAGTCGCTACCCCGAAGTTGATGATGGACTCACTTTGTTGGTGGTTTAACCCTACAGTTTGCGATGATGGGACTTAGTGAACATCTTGTGCTACCTTAATAAACTAATTGCAGCCGCCCTTAATACGTGTAGACCATACTGTGAACGAGGAGCCGCGTCGCAAAAGACGTGCATAGGTTGAAAGACAAAGTGGTTGAAAAATATGTAAGTCTGTATACACACAGGAAAGATAGTGATCGCCCACTGAATTTGCGAACTTGACCGTGGGATACAGAGCCAAGAAAAGCAAAGAGACGAGTCCCAGGAAAGAAAGAGAGAAACCGAAAGACCTACTGCCACGACAAGGAACGTTTGGAGTCGTTTATCGGATCTGGTGCAGTTGCGGACAAAACAACGACGTCGGAGATACAGGAAGACAGCTCCGCACGCGAATGGCCAAACACGCTGAAGCAATGTGGAGAAATGACGCCAGCTCTCAAGTTGCGGCTCATTCGACGAAGTCCGGCCACACATTAAAATTCCACGAGGCCGAAATTCTCGTTAGAGGTGACAACCGCGTTAGCCGGGAGTTACTTGAATCATGGTTCACTGGTCCCCAGTTCATTGACAAGTGCAATGACCTACGCCTTTCATACTCAGTGCTGAGACTGCCTTGGCGGAGTAGTTAGCCACGCGGGAAGCGCACTGGTGAACAATTTTCCCAATGTCAGGGTCGGTGGATCAGATGGCCGAGCAATCATCACACCAAAATCCAACGCACATGATGAAATTGCAGCAATTAACGACGCGAATATCGGTCATCAAACAGTCAGCACACCAAGTGCAACGATCCATGATGAAGGGGGGGGGGGAGCCGCAAATATTCAGATATCTGGTGGCATACTGACTGCATTCTATAAATACTGCGGACTCTTGTGCATAAACCACCCTTATCTGCTTTTGTCTCTGGTGATGGGCTCGAGCAGGAATCCGAAACGCCAGGCTAATAAAGCTCTTGTCCCAGCAATTGTCTCACCTTCTTTAAGTGGGATACAGAATTCGAACCCCGTCATTTTCAAGGATCAAAACACTGGCGTGCAAACACCCTCACTTCTATTTGCAGTGCGTCAGCGACCATCTCGGAGTAAGTAAAGATTTCATACGCACATTTTCCTCAGATTGCATTAAATAACTGGAAAGAGCATTTCTCATGGATTTACGGCTTCAGTCTATGGCTTGAGTCGACGGTCCGCTTGTGACATATCTTTTCATTTGTAAGTATACTTGCTTGCTACATATCAGTAATAATATGCAAATAATTACCAGGTCGCGCAACGTGAGGTCAGCCAGTACCACCTTTCTCGTCGACACGACCCCCAGCACTCCCAGGAGGCTATGCATTGGCTATCAAAGGCGGCTGCAAACGGCGACGGACTAGCTGCCTATAATCTCGCCGTGGCCTACCTCAAGGGTGATATCCAGGGGGCCAAGAAGGAGACTATTCACACTCTACTCACGCAGGCAGTGAGGGCCGGTGTCCCGGAGGCCGTCGGATTGCTTCACACCTGTGGCCAAGGGCAGTGTCTCAAAGACCAGGAGGATGGGTCTCCATAGTTCATTCCCGAGGGATGGGTCGGTGAAGCTTGCTTGAGTTGCAAAAACTTCCCTATGCATCTCACATCGCCATCTGTGTGTGCACCTTTAACAACCTTTTGTAATTATAGAGTTGAAGGCGTACACTTTTTTACTGTATCCCAAAGGCATCCTTAAAACTATATTGTAATTTCGCGACAGGGAAGGACCTCGTTTTAGAGTCCCTGATGTCGCGGCAGTAAGGAGAAACCAAGGTCCCTGTAGGCGGCCAGGTCATACAATTAACCTCTTGATGATCGTGTGTCAGTGCATACCTTTGCCATGCGTCTGGCTAGCAAACCTGTCTACCCGCAGTCGAAATCAAATAAAGGATCGTGGCGGCTAGATGAGAAAAGACGTCCCCAAGCCCGTCTTTTTGCCATTTAAAGCTCGTTATTCAAAAGAATGTTTACTGCGTTATACAGAAAACATAATCCTGCCCGAAACGTACGAAAGGCAGTCGCGCGATGGGCTGCATAAACGCCGATTGTAGTTGCGAAGTGTGTGCTAACGCGATGGGGAAATTTAAGGATTCCTGCTCAGTTGTTGGCCGCCCCGATGGGGTTTTGTGTATATCACTATAACAATTTACTGAGTCTGTGGTAGCGCACTCACACGTGGACTAGAACCCACTTGCTCGGACATGACGCCAGGGTCATGTCGGCTTTCCCATCTAAGTTTGCCAGCAGCTGTACGCGTTCGCCATCCCCTTCGTCAGCGCCCCACCAGGCCCTGCGACCGCTCATCGATTGATAGCATGAGCTCAACAGTTTTCGGGTCCTCGCCAATCGCGTGCTCCTGTCACAACTTGCTACCCAGTCGGCTGTGTGATGGAATTCAATGGCGACTGCTCAGTCATCTTTGTTTTTCCGTCATCCGGCGCACGACTTTGACGGGTTCTAGTAGACGTTAGTCTGTGCAGGTCAGATTGCGCGGTGTAGTTCAGGGCACAACCTCACGCTTGTTATTCCCTTCTGCTATAACCTGCACGCTTCTCTAGTCTGTGGGTCGCACCCACCGCTGAATTTTGTGAATTGTGGGCGTACTTTAAATTCAGGGCCATCGAATGATGTTAAAGTTTCTGCATGATAAAAAAACGAGGTGAGAGAGATAGAGAGGGGAAGAGGAGGAGGAGGAGGAGGAGGAGGAGGAGGAGGAGGAGGAGGAGAAGGAAGAGGGGAGGCGGGGAGACAACAGCCGGGCTACCAGCATATTTTAAAATTACCTTCCGGATGCTGGAAGTTGAGCTGGTGTCGGAGTCCACAGAGAAGCTTACTGTGGGTTTTCGTTTTGCGTCCTGCTGATCTTTTCTCCGAGCCAGACGAGGGTCGCGCTCCAGTTCATCAACACGTGACTGAAGCAAGTGGTAAACATGTTGATTTATACCAGTGTGTATGGCCAGAAAGCAAGCAAGTTACGAAGCAGATCGGTCCTGCCTTCTACCAGGCACTGTGTACTCGACAACTAACAGAAATATGTCCTTTAGATTCTCTAGGACATAATTCTACCTCTTAGGGTCTTAAATAAAAATAGACTAGCAACACTTGAGGAGTCGATAAGGAAGCATGGCAGTTGCAACTGCCGCCCATCGCGATATGCAAGGCTAGATTTACAGCAGCGTAACTGACAGCCAGAGAGTTGGTAGCAAAGATAATCAAAAGGTCGTTTGCCGGGCACTTCCGTTTCTAAAGGCAGGTAATACTGATATATTAAAGTTGCTTACCAGCAGCAAAGAGCCAGAGGCAGAGAAGAGGGAGACGACAATCAAATGGGAAGATATCAAATTAAAGGACGGGGACAAAATGAGGAAGAGGAATAAAAAAGAGGACGAAGATGGTGGAACGGTTGAAATAAATAGCGTTCAGTAGAAAGGAAGAATAAAACGAAAAGAAGATGTGGTAACGGCAAAAATGATGATATTTGTGATAAAAGAGCTAACAGAAGCAACGGTGGAAGAGGTAAAAAAGAGAAATAAGATGAAGGGACGAGTATCTGCCCAATTTCAGAATCGGACGATTGCTGAGTGTTCGCTACAATGCGACCCGCAGGCGACGGCTAGAGTTCTAAACTCAATTACAAAGTGGAATCTCTCTTATACTGTACAACAACCAGGACGGGTAGACTAACATCACTTTAATACAACGATGCCCATTCCCATTTTCACCCGACGGGGCCTTAGTCCGCGTACCAGGGATGAAGCAGTTTATGGATGATGAGCTGTGCCAAAGTGCAAAACTCAGGGTCCCCGACCTGGAACTTCTGTATCTAGTCGACAAGGACAAGTACACCAAGAGCGACAACTCCAGTCGTCCTTGACCTTGACAGGACTGCTCATCAATTATTATTAAATTATTATGGAATTGAAGCGAAGAGTTTCAGAGTTTTAATGGGCTTACGTTAATTCGGGCCTATTTCCTAAGTTCCGACGTATGTTAAACACAGGTGTTCCTCGTCGAATGGTACCAGAACAGAGCTTAGGATTTATGCACTTCTAGTGTGTAAGTCTGTCTTCTAATCGATTTCTTAGAGTCGGGGAGAATAAAAACACACACAATGCTTTTGGAGCATGCAGTAATCATCTACGGACCTATGCTTTCCTACTAAACTCGGAAGAACCTGTGGATAGGTTATGAAAATGGAGATAAAACTTTCTTGATTAATTCAGATTTTGGCGAAAGAAAAAGTACGGGGAATTTCATCCGCCTCCAGATTGAGGGTGCTAAGTGGGCGGGGGGAAATGTGGGCTCCGTCCCGGATATCGGGGACCCCACTGCAGCGAGCTGTCCATAGAATAAGCCTTATATGCATGCCATTAATAGCCTCCGCATTCTGTACTCACCTTTAGACGACTGGCCTCCAACCGCGCTGTTTCAAGGTCGAAGCGGAGTTGCAAGTTTTCGCTAGCATTGTTCAGCTTCTCTTTCTGAGCCAAGCGATCCAAATGGATTTGCGAAGGCGTCGAGAGACCACTCGACACCAAACGCTTCTCAAGATCAAAAACGCGTTCCTGGAGCAGCTGGTTGTGCAGTTTTATCGACTAGTTAGCAAAACACGACACCTTTTATTTATTGGCAGGCATATTTGCGCCAAATACCCGGTAAAATCAAAACAGTTTGATGTAAACAAAAGTGAAAACCAGACGCAGGCAAATGTTCTGTGGCCCAACCGAGTAGTCTTCGCCCCTCACCAGATACATCGCCTGCATCTTCTGGCCACACAAGCCAACCAAATAACAGCCTCGTAGAGAAATTAGGATTGGCCCAGTCTGAGAAGTAGCAGAGTTTGTGCTTTCCGCTCAGTCTGGTCGCAAATCAAACAGATTTCACAAATGCACCCCATTGTCCAGTGAAGGAGTCAAGAGTAGCCAAAGTTTCATTGGCCCAACCCCTGAGTCACTTCGAAGATGGGGCCAGCGAGCAGACGGCACCATGGAGTCCCTTCCATGTCGCCTCGCCTCTTGCACCCTCCCCCCCCCCCTAGGGATCATGGGGACGACGCGGCAATTGTTCTAGGAAAACCTTTTAAATGGAGGCGCCAGTTAGGTTTCTGTGGCACTTTCAGAGGTTCGACCAATTCTGATACAGGAAAGAAGCGGCTACCTACGCGGTAAGCCCAAATACGCAAGAAACAGGGGGATAACTTGGTTTTGGCACTTGTGCGGTAAAAAATTAAAGGATCTCAGTACTTGCGTGAATCGCATGCACATACTTTCTTGCGCATCCTTTTGACAATGCAAAAACCCGCTTTCAGTTGCCCCGTGAGAAAACTATTGCTTCACAAACTTATTCGACTGAAAAATCCAAGTCCGATTGATACAGTCACTCGTTCATCCTGCGAACAGAAGTTACGGAAATGAAAGTTCTTCCGCGCCACTTCTATCCTCAAGGTCAGCAGAATAGCTGTTATCTCAAGGACATGGTTAATATGCTCTGAAATGACTTTTCCGCCCTACATCAAATGTTTATTACCATGTGAGACAGATTGCTCAGCATTTCCAATGCATTTTCTTGAAAACCCCTGCACCAAATGCAAATTACTTCGTTTGTCCTTCCCCCCTTTCAACCACGTGCGGATGTCAGCTTCTGGTTTAGCTTTCGCGAAAATAAGACTACAGTGTGTGCAATGCAGTCCTGCGCACTCTTGTAGTACCGCGTGGACAGTCTCATCAAACTGTTTTGATTAATTTCCCTGTTTCTTTCGCCTGGGAAGGCAAAACGTGAGAGCGCGCCCATCAAAAATAAGTCGTGGTAACATCCCTCTTTACATGAGGTAAAATTTAAAGAGAAGAATCTAACGTAAATCCCACCGTTGCGAGTCCCCGCCAAAGTATGCAGAGGCCACCCACTTCGTTCTCCATCTGCATTGTAAACGATCTCGATTGCGTATCCAGAATTGATATCGCACAACTCCTAAAGTGATGGATCGGGAATACTTTTGTCAACCTTAGCTGTTGCCCTAAATATCTTTTTGTTTTTCACTTCTGGATTCAAACTTCTTCAGCGATATCCAAACTCAGTGCACGTTCTACGACCTCTAAAGTAATCAAGGAGCAAGGAATTTCGACCTTCTTTGTCCCACAAAGCTGTACACTCCATCTGCCAAAAAGAAAACGCAGGAATATTGTTCCCGAATGGTGAAGTTCTGGTCATGTCAGAAGAAGCCCTTACTGTTGGGAAAACGGTTTCCCTATTCTTTGTTGCACCATCGGATGCCTTATAAGGACAAGAAATGGCTTGCAAGCTGTGGGAGATTTGGTTTTCAGAAATTGTGCACGCACTCCAGTAGTTTATAATTACTCAATCGCTATCCCACACTCTAATGTAACACTTTTATCTGATTTAATCGCTCAAAATGAAATCCCTACCCCCAAAAGAACAAAAGCCAGAGGATGGTGAATGACAACAGGTGCGTTCTGCTTACAAGGAAAGTTGCCAAGAAGTATGAGTTTCACGACAAAGCAGCGAAAAAGGCGTCAGTCAGGC